TCCCCATCAGTCTGCAGGGTCTCCGAGGGTAGCTTGGGGCACCTGCACTTTTGAGGACCTTTGGAGCGGGTGACATGTGGTTCCACAGGGTGAGCCCGTTTCAGTGTGAGGGTGCTGACAATGTGGTGATTTTCAACTTTCTTAAGTGTGGCGTATGTAGGAGCCAACCACATTTAACAGATAAAAGCTGAGCTCCAAAACTATTAGTTGAAGATCCACTAACTTGCACAGTGTCCTCTTTACGGGCACTGATGGCCGTGACAAGCCCAGGAACCCCCAGTAACTGGGACAGAGGCCGGGGACAAAATCTTCCTTGGATCCTCAGGAAGGAACAAGACGCTGCCAACACAACAACTTGACCTAGGACTTGTAGCCTACGGAAGTCTGAGGCAATAAATTTCTGTTAGTTAAGCTGCCCAGACTGCTATTTTGTATGGCAGCTCTAGGAAATGAGTACAGCAGTCAGGATTTTAGTTGACACATGGATTCATTGTAAAAATACTGGCTTCCTCGCTTACTGTGTGACCTTGGACAGGTTCCTTAACCTCTCCGTGCTGCTGCGGTTTCCTCCCGCCCCCGCACAATGGTTTACCAAACGCAGGCTGGGGACTGGTTCAGTGCTGGCTCTTCGTGTGATGACTCAGATATGAAATACATACAGGAGGGGGGTCCCAGGGAGCCGAGCAGGGTGGTGGGGAAGCGAGTTGGACACCCAGTCCTCCAGGGGTTCTGGAAGGTCTCCCTTCCCACCAGGAAGGGGGGTGCCACACCACCCTGGCCTTCATTTCTGTTAACTATTTCTTTTGGAGGAAACTTCTGCAAAGCGAATGTTAATGTATTTTCACAGAGTGAAGGCACCCCAGCAGTGTAAGCTGGGGCTCGTCAAACTGCTCTGTGGTCAGAGGGGCCAGTCCAGGAGGAGACTGGAACCCACACTTGCCTCCTGGACGGAGTTCAAGGGCTGAGCTGGCCCAGCTTCACGCCTCCTCCTTCCTGCCCACTTCCCACCTGACCAAAGCTGATACGTGTAAAATTCACCAGATTTTTCCAACGTCTGGCATAATGACACCTTCCTCTTCACCCCTACCGACCACTTCTGTTACCAATGTGGCACCTCTGTAACCCTCAGTAATCCTGACATGACTGTGACTCACCCTTGCCTCCCTTAGGCACCATGCAAGCCTCTTCCCACTCTCTGGCCTTTGCCAATTGGTCCCCAGGAGCCAGCTTGGTCTTAATCCTGCCCCTCGGATTCTGGCTTTGGTGGAGGTGAGATGCTGGCGAATCCACCACCATTAGGTACAGGCTGGCTGTAGCTCCGGGGGGCCCTCCCCCGGCCCTCACAGGGCCAGACACAGACACAGACACCCAGCTGTGGACACCAGGTTCGTGATTGGCTCAGCATGGATCAGAGCCCCCACCAGCCAGATGGCACGCCAGGGGCCACACAGCATTGCCAAGTCTAGGCCCCCCACCCCCATCAAGGCAGCCCTCCATCATTCAGGTTTTTGTCCCAGGTTGCTCTGGATAAAAAGTCCACAGCCAGGGCCCTCCCTGGTGGCGCAGCGGGTTAAAGCACAGCACTGAGAAGCTAAAGCCACCTCTGCATGAGTTCGATTCCCGCCTGCCCCGGAGGTGACCACATGGCGCGGCAGACCTCTCCTGACCCGCCCGCTGCTCCCCTCAGCAGTGTTCTTCATCACTCGGCCTGTTCTGCTCCCCATTCTGTCTCTGGTGGATCCTCTCGCCGCCCCTGCACCTCTGGCCTATAACCTAGCTCTGTATGCATAAATAAATAAATCTTTAAAAAAAAAAAAAGTCCACAGCCAGTCTTAAGCCTACGAGGCCTCCTCAGCAAGCCCGATGGCCCTGGAATCCAGCATTGGGGCAGCAAGCAGAGAGGAGGCACCTCCCTCTCCGTGCCGAGCGACTGCAATGGCTTTTCCCTGGACACCCCTCATTCCCGGGCCCTGGACAAGAAATGCCCCCTGTGCCAGTTAGAGGAGCCTGCTGAACTGTAAGCCACGCCACGGCGGTCCTTGCCACAAAGCTACAGTCCCCCTCTGTCGACCCTGCGCTCCGCCTGCAGCCTCACTCGCTGCCCGCCTCTCACTCGCTCACTCTTGAGCAGTTCTTTGCTACCGCAGGGCCTCTGCCAGGCTTTCCCCTCTACAAAGGGCATCATGCAGCTCACAGAGGCCTCCTCAGAGTGGCTGCCCGGCCAGCACCCAGTTACCAGCCATCTTCCTGTCTGCTCATCCACCTGTCATCTGTCCCTGCCCATTAAAATATAAACACCATGAGGCCCTCCCTGGTGGCGCAGCGGGTTAAAGCACAGCACTGAGAATCTAAAGCTGCTTCCGCATGAGTTCGATTCCCGCCTGCCCCGGAGGAGACCACATGGCGTGGCAGACCTCTCCTGACCCGCCCGCTGCTCCCCTCAGCAGTATACTCCATCCATCTGCCTGTTCTGTTCCCCACTCTGTCTCTGGTGAAGCCTTTCACCGCCCCTGAGCCTCTGGCCTGTACCCCAGTTCTGTATGCACAAATAAATAAATCTTAAAAAAAAAAAAAAAGATTAAAAATATAAACACCATGAAAGCAGGGTTGAGGCACTGCCCTTTGGGTTACCATGACCTGGACTGGGGCTGGCATGCAGTGGGTGCTCCCAACACAGGTTTCTGGTGAGTCAAAGAAGACTGCCCCGGGTGCCTTGCCTGCAGCACCTCTAGGGCCAGGCTGGACTGGGTGAGCGTGTGCCCTGGCCTGCAGCCCCAGGCCCTGCCCCTCCTATTGGCCTTGCCCAAGGCCCAGGGCGCATGCCCGGGGTGCTCGCTGCCTCCAGGCCCTCCGTCTCAGGGCTGACCCATCCGAGTTCCCTCCGCGGTGCTCACGGCCACTCTTTACCACTTGCTGTCTCAATGCCTTGTCTGGCATCAGTCCGGCTTTCCCCCGGCTGGCTTTTGGGGTTTCGTAAAGGTCAGTCACTGCCCACTGTCTCTCCACTGCTTCTCCTGCAAAGTTCAGTCTCAGTCGCTGCTGGCACCAGAACTGGCATCTGAGCTTGGCACCCAGAACCTCTGAGTCAAAGTGCTAGAGAGTCGACACCCCCAGGAACAGCACGCACCTCCAGAGCAGGAGTATGATGGGGTTGGGGGCGGTGGGGAGGCTGGTTCTGAGTGCTGCCCACCCCCGAATACCCCAGCCAGGCAGGCAGGCAGGGGTTCAAACGTCCAGGAACTTGCTCACTGATGAAGCCAGATTGGGGTCGCTTGCTTTACCTGTGCCCTGCCAGAGACCACCTTCCAGACAAATGACTTGTTCTTGAATCTCTATCTCTGAGCCTCCTTCTGGGGAATCCAGGCCGCGATAATATTTACACGGCGCACAGCAAATGCTACTGTTCTTTCCGCCTCTGCCTCCCACCTGCCCTGGCTGGCCTGGGGTCTCCGCTCTGAGTGTGCGGACCTGAATCTGGGGTTGCGACTGACTGCGGGGGAGATCATGGTTCCCACCACTTAGTCCTTGGCCTCTGACTGCAGGTCACAGACCCTCCTGATCCCCGAGAACCTGCAGTCAGGCCCCTGGTGCAGGCCGTTGTTTGTCTGGCAAAGCTGGCCGGGGCTGGATTTTGCCCGAGGTGCTCCCAGGTACCAAACCCTTGGGACCCCGAGGTGCTTGAACACTCTGAGGTCCACTGCGCCACAGAAACCAGCACACGCAGTAAGAAGCGGGAGCCGAGCTGATTCCCCGCAGACTGTGGTGGGCGTGGCCTGCCGGGTCGGGGATGGCAGTGGGACACACCAGAGCTGGAGGCTAACATCTGGCACCATCCAGCTGGCGTCACCTCCCCTCCTCATCACCAAGTGGGGGCGGAGGGGGCGGTCACAACCGAGCTCAGAGGTGCGTTGTGTGTGTAAATGGGTATGCATCTGTGAGACTCTGCACCGTACAGGCGTTGTGAGGAGAAGCTTACAGGCGGCGGCTCATAGCAAGGCCTCCCTAGCGGTGACCTCTCAATTCAGTGGAGAAGCACCAGGCTGCCGTTCATGTGATCCTCTTGTGCATTTACAAGTTAATCCCTATTATTAGCCACATAAAGAAAACAACTTACTTTACAAGTAAAAATAAAGGTAAAGTTTCAAGAATAACCACATCTTGGTATAGAACCAAAAATTAGCTTTCAAGGGTAGTTTATGTGTCCATGTAACTGGAGCCCAGATATTCGGTCAAACATTTTTCCGGCTGTTTCTAAGAGGGGCTTTTGGAGGAGACTGCCATTTTTTTTTTTTTAAAGATTTATTTATTTGTGCATACAGAACTGGGGTACAGGCCAGAGGCTCAGGGGCGGCGAGAGGCTTCACCAGAGACAGAGTGGGGAGCAGAACAGGCAGATTGACGAAGCACACTGCTGAGGGGAGCAGCGGGCGGGTCAGGAGAGGTCTGCCACACCATGTGGTCACCTCTGGGGCAGGTGGGAATTGAACTTATGCGGAAGTGGCTTTAGATTCTCAATGCTGTGCTTTAACCCGCTGCACTACCAGGGAGGGCCGAGACTGCCATTTTACCTGGTGAGAGAGGCCTCCATGATGTGCTTGGGCCCTGTCCATTGAAGGACTGACCAGAACAGAAAGACGGACTGTGCACCGAGCATGAGAGAATTCACCACCAGGCTCACTCTAGGCTTCACCCACAACCTTCACCTTCACCTTGACCCTCTGGCCTGAGCCTTCCGGCTGGGGAATTGGCTTTTCTGGGACTCCAGCCCGCCAGTTTCTCCGGCCTCCAGTATTGCACAGTCTGCTCCTTACGAGCTTTCTTGCTCCACACCACATTTTTATAAATCTGTAGCAGGCATAATGCAGACTATGATACATTTGCTCAAGGCTAGCCGAGGCCTTGGCGAGCGGGGGAAAGAAGCCAGGACTCCTCCATCACTACTCTCTAGGGGAGTGGCCCATCTAGGGGCCGGCTCTGCCCAGGGCCCCCCGAACTCTTACTTGACCACATCCTCTCCTGGTCTGGGAGCACCGCAGGTAGCTGGGGACTCAGGTTTGGCTCAGGCTTGCTGGGAATGAAGACCTCGGCATTGTCCTTCCGCTTGGCAGACAAATTCCTTTCCTTTTTGCTACCTATAGGAAAACCAGTGTTTAGATGTCAAACACGGAGTGCAAGCAGAGTTGGGACATTTGCTCAGGCATCGCTCACTTATTCATTCAACAAACGTCTACCGAGCCCCGACTCTGTGCCAGGCGCTGCACCAGCGGCTTCTGAGTCAAGGTAGTTGAGGGTGGCTGTGTACCAACCCCCACATTTTGGTGAATAAGTGAAATATCCTAGGACACATTTCTTCCAAATGTTAACATGTCTACATGGGGACAGAACTTATAAGTGAAGGGGTTAGGTTGATTTGGCACTCAAAAAGGACTCAATATACACTGGCAATTATCACTATGTGTGTATGAATTGTTATTCCTGACAGGCTGATTGTCTAGCTTCCCTGCTAGAAGTGAGAAAAGAGGGAGTGTCCCAGCACAGGGCCGGGGGTATGACCTCCACCAGTGAACAATGAAGGAATCAACAGTCCGGACCAGACACAACTTTTCAGGTTTCTGCTGACTGTTCCTGAGTAAATGTTCAGGTTAGGTCAGGATGCCACTCCCCCGCAGGGGTCTGGAGAGACCTTACAACAGGCCCTGCCAGCTGCCCTCTGGTGGGGTCTGTCTCCTGCTGGACTGGAGAAGGGGCCAGACTGTGGATGAAAGGGAGCAGGCTTGAGCGGCGGCGGGAGGCAGAGGCCGCCCCTCGCCCCCCGCCCCCCAACCCTGACATCACCCTGGTCAGGGCCAGTGCAGGCCTGCCGAGCAATCGAATTGTTAAAAATGTAAAATGTCAAGAAAGTGACGTTCTTGCTTTTTCATTTATGCTTTGACACCATTCTCAAACTGTGCCCACGCCTGGCATCCAGCCGTTCTCCTACTGTGGCGGGGCGCTTCACAGCGTGACAACCATGACCCCCAACTCCCTCCCAGCTTGCTCCCCCCGCCCCGCCAGTGGCTCAGTTCTGCTCCTGTGTGTAAGACTCCGCCTGAGAAGACACCAAGACAAAGCAGGCAGAGGCTGGAGGAAGCAAAAGTAGGTGAAGGCAGGGGTGGGGGGCAGGGTGGGGAGCCGTGGCAGCTGCAGGCTCCCCTGGCATAAGGGAGCTGGCATGAGCCCGTGGGCGTGTGGCACGCTGGACCCCACAGTGCCCAGGACAGCCCCGCAGCTGAAGTCAGGCCGAAGCTCAGGGGCGTAAGGAGGCCTTCGGGGCCTCTCTGCTCTTACAGTCAGCAGAGACCTGTGCGCTGCCCCGGCCTGTGAGACGTCTCCTCCGCCCAAAGCTCAAGTCAAGGCCACTGAAGGTCAAGGCCCACAACTCGGTCCAGAGACCCCGGAGGCAAAGCACACAGTGAGCTCACTTTTTGAAGCCGGGTTGAATTCCAGCATCACCAGGGTGTCCGGCCCCTGGGGAGGGTGTCCTGTCAACTGGTCCGTGGGAGCCCCGTTCTGCACTGAGTCCCCACTGGGAAGAGGGGCCCCCTCGCCGGCGTGGTCCTCCAGGGCCTGGTCCTCGGGCTCTGAGAGGACGTCTTCTTCAATGGAGTCGGACTCGTCACTGGAGCTGTCCTTTGGGTCCCTCCGCAGATTTACACTCAGTTCTAAGCTCTTTCTCAGCTCCTGTCAGACACCAAAAGAGAGATGAAGAAGAAAACATGGTCCTTTGAGAAAATAGTCATTTGAAAAAGGATTATTAGAACCAAGGAGCTACTCCCACCACACAAACATTCGCCAGGATCGTCTCCTATGCTGCCATCACCTCAAAGACGAGGAGACAACAGGACAAACCATCAAGTCTCTGGACGTGTGTGTGTGTGTGTGCGAGAGCGTGTGACTGTGTGTGTGTGTGGTTTAAATTTCAATTCCACTATGCATTGGCAACACTGGTGTGAGGAAAGGGCTGGAATGTTCCATGCCACATCCCCCACCTCGACTTACAGGGTCCAGCTGACTCAGACAAGCTCCCAGGAGGCAGCAGCAGATTCCACTGGAAGACTCAGTCCCCCAAGAATGCCCCCCACTTCAGTGCCAGAGGCAAGCCCTCACCTGTGCTTCTAACTAACCAACAGGCTATAAATCAGAGGCTCCCACCAACACCTCCTCGACTTCAATTGATTTGCTAGAGCAGCTCACTGTTTACTCACTGGTGTACTGATTCATTATAAAGAATATCAAGGGATACAAATGAACTTCCAGAAGAAGAGATAAATGGGCGGGGGCAGGGGGGATAGTGTCCCTCTAGGGAGACTTTAGGGTTCCTGCAGAGTTTAGGGTCTGGTGCAGGGACATTTGGAGGCCTCCTAGTTCACCAACCTGGAATCCACCTTTTGGGGGACTTTTAGATTGAGTACATTTAAAAAGATAATAACAAAGGCTTCTAATTGAGTGTACCGAGATGATCCAGGCAGCCGCTGAGACCTGCAAAGTCTGACAGTGGTGGCCAGTTGGGAGGTCAACAGATTTACTGCCTCTCCACGGGGAAATAGGAGTTCTTGTCTGGCCTGCACTCAGCAGCAATTTCGGGAACTGCAAAACTAGTAATCCTCTGCAGTGGGATATTGTCCTGTTTGCAAAATGTCCCTGCAGGATGGCTAGAGCAGACTTTGTGATAACAGGAACTCTGTTACAACACGATAGACTACTGATTCCTGCACTCAGCCCAACCCGCATCCCTACATGGGATCAGCTTCAGTCCATATCTTTTGCAGAGGGGGAGACAAGCCCGGGTGAGAAAACAGGGTGCAGATCCCTTTGGGCACCCTCAGTTTTCTTGCCCTTTCACTGGTGGGAAGGAACAAGAAGGCTGCTACCCAGGAGATTCCCAAGTAGGAGACTTGCGGGTCCCAAGGTCCAGAGCCATCCCTGCCCATGACTGGGACAGAGTGGACACTGACTACACTCAGTTCCAGGAAGGAAATGGACGGAGCACTAGGGATCTAGAGCCCACGGCCAGCTGAGCGGACTCCTCCAGCCTCTCACTACCTTCACAGTGCAGCAACTCCATATTTTAAGTGACTACACTTTTGGAGTTCCCCCAAACGAGGCATCTGAGGCCGAGGGCCTTGTCCAACTTGTCACAGTGACTAAGTAGCAGAGTCGTGGCCTGTGCCCTCAGTCACTGCTGCTGCTTCTCGGTTATCCAAGTGTAAAGAAGAAGCTCTCGCATCTGCTGTGGTCCAATCAACGGGGAGAGCCATGCAGAGATCACTGTGGGTAATCTAGCCATGCCTACCGGCCTGCCTGGGGGCTGTGTTAGGCTGAGGTGAAGGGGGGCGAGCAAGGCAGGCCACCAATGGCAGACAACCAATGCAGGCAGAAAATCAATAGGCCATTCCAGATGTGGCCAGGACTGTGAAGGACAGAACAGAGAAGGTCCCTTTGGAAGATGGTCAGGGAAGCCAGGTGATGAAGAACTGTCCTGCATCAGGCAGGGGCAGCAGCAGAGGCAAAGGCAGTGTGTGTGTGTGTGGGGGGGGGGGGCAGTGTGGCTGGAGAGGGCAGGAAGCAGGAAGCTCTGAAGGTCTTGGGTTTTGTGTTTTGAACAATGACAGGCCTCAGGGCAACGCTGAGCGGAGAGACAGCATTAACCGACTTCTGCTTTGAAGAGGGTTATAGCTGTTGGATGCCAAGTGGATTTTGACAGGTGGCACCAGCGTGGACACAGGGCACACAGGTGCCGCTGCAGAAGCAGGTGAGAGATGGAGGTGGCAGCAGAGATGGAGATGAGATGCCTTTGGAGATGCCAGAAATGACTGACTAGAAATTGACAATGTGCGTTACCCGTTGGCCCATCCCCTCTAGGGACGTCTCCTTCAGCCTTAAGTATACAAAGGTTTTGTATAGGAAGTGTACAAAGAGACATTGTTTATAACAGAGAATGACCCAACTGCTCCTGAAACAAGATGGGCCAGTGGCTGAGAGGGCAGGTGTCAGGCAGCCCTGACAGAGGACGAGGCAGATGGGGCACACATGCCCAGAAGGGTGTCCGGGCACACGTTTACACAAAAAGAAGCATGTTGGACAATGTACTGGCCATGTAAACCCAACTTTTAAAATAACGACTAGTTGCTTCGCCGGTGTGCATGTGAGTGTGCAGGGGTGATATAAAAGCCTGGGTCACCAAGCTGTTTACAGTGTTCCCCTGGGGGCAGCCATGATGGGGATGCTTTTCTGTCCCAACTTTTTATTACAAACACATCCGCAACTTTGTCATTAGAATATGTGATCTATTTACACGGATGCTTAAATCCTGTCTCTCATGCCCACAAACACGTGAACTCAGTCAGGGCAGGGTCAGGGTGTGGGGGACCCTGGGAAGCCAGTGGTCTGAAAAATCGCTATCTCCAGCCCTGCAACCCGTGTTGTCCCTGAAAGAGCGCAGCCAACGGCAGCACCGGCATCTGGAAGATAATGGAGCGTGTCTGTCTAACCTACTGTTTCCGGTCAAGTGGGAGGATGGACCAGCAACAGGCCAAGGGGCTCCACAGGAAGAAATGTGGGGAAAATAGTCTCATGAGCTTCTCTCAGACAAAAACTCCCAGATGTGAAAACCCAAACAGTGAAACGTGAAGTCAGCATAAAGAGCTCAGACAGGAGCTGCACGGGAGGGCTGATGGCGAGTGCCGAGGCCACTTGGAGATGGAGCCCATTCTCGACCCTGGTGCACATGGGTAGGGCCCAAAATGGAAGGTAGCAGCCCTGAGCTCAGCGAGCAAGAGCAGGGAGGGCAGGCAGAGCGGACGCAGCCCGGGCCTCGTGGTCCAGAGCAGGCTGTCATCAGATCCTTCAGGCGGAAACAGAAATGACCACTCTGACCTCTGCGTATTTTTTCACATCTATTAAACCGATGAGATCATCTTAAGAAATGATACTGCTTATGATAAAGAAATTGAATTTCAATAATTCCTTCTGTTTTGATTTGATTTCTTTTCATGCTGTCAAGTAATATAAATTTAAATGCCACAGCCACATTGAGAAAATATGCATGCCTCGGGTCTCTGGCACCAAGGGAGGGAAGGTGTTGTCTACACTGGCACACAGGTGGTGGGAACCAGGGCCTTCTACCGAGCTGTTTCTAATGCCCCAAACCACTTGTTCCAGGGGCAAAGTGGTTATGATCTGAGTTCCAACTCCTTCTGGAGGGAGCTGTTCAAAACCTTTCCATCTGGAAAGATGAGGGTCTTTGGCTGGTGGCTTTGAAAGCCAACCTGTGGCTATTTCAAAGCGATACCCTGCTGGCAGAGTGACGAGTTGCTTTGAAGCTGTCATCCAGACATTGCTTAGAAAACTTTGCTTTGCTTTAAAACCTTGTAAGAGGGGGCCCTCCTGGTTGTGCAACGGGTTAGAACACAGCACTGCAAGCTGGCCACAGCCTCTTCAGTGCAAGTTCGATCCCTGGACCGGAAGGTGATCTACATGGCTCGGCAGACCTCTCCTGACCCGCCCGCTGCTCCCTCAGCAGTGTACTTCGTCGATCTGCCAGTTTCACTCCCCACTCTGTCTCTGGTGAAGGCTCTCACTGCCCCTGTACCTCTGGCGTGTATCCCAGCTCTGTATGCATAAGTAAATAAATCTTTTAAAAACAGATTAAAATGAAAATAACATTGTGAGATGCAATTTCAATGTTCAGTGTTTACATTGTTCAGTTCAAGCCCTTTCAGCTGAAAGCCCTCTGCCTGGAGGCGGGGCTGCGGGTGGAGTGGGGCCCAGGGGCAGCGTGTGAGCTGGTCTCCCGGCTCACCAGGAAGGGGTTGGAGGGAGGAGGGATGGGCCCCGAAGCATCGGCTACCAGGCAACCGGAGTTCAATGTTCAGAGTGCCAGTGCCTTCCATGCTTGATCTGCCTCTTTCTGCAGAACTAGGAAAAGAAGCGGAGGTCACACACATGAAATCTTTGCCATAGGAGTAAAAGAGATGTGGTAGCAGCAGCAGCAACTTCCAATTGGCAAGCTCTGTTAGACAGCAAGCCCCAGGCTAACTACTCTAGGGTCCATGTCTCATGGCACTCCCGGCACAGAGCCTTACTGTGGAGACCCAGGGTGCTGGGTACCAGCCCAAGCTGGAGGGATGACTGTTGGATCCAAAGTCTAGGCTCTTCGCCACATGCCCTCATTCACTCCCTGCCTGGCACCAACGTGCCGGAAGCAAGTGGTCTCCAGAGCCGTATGAAAGTCAGGCGCTCAGTGACTCTGCCCAGCTCCCATGGAACTGATGAAACCTGCATGTAAGAGTTTTTGACACAAAGCTGCCTTGAGGCCACTAACCTAGTGGTTAAGTGTGTGTAAGTGTTAGTGAATGGACCATTAAGCCTCTAACGACACTTTGAAGGGGGAACAGTGAGGTCAAAGTCCTGGGCCTGGGTTCTGGGCCCAACTCCAGTCTTCAGGTGTCTCCAGACAAGAGGCTGAGTCTCCAGCCCCCGCCTCCGCTGTGGGGCAGTGGGCCCTGACAACCCAATAAGGTTGTGGGAGGGTCACAATAAGATTAATGGCTATGCACTAGCGTCCCGTGATTGCCTTCACAGGAGTCTAGTTTCTACAGAAAATATAAAATTGAAATGACAGCATATTCTTCTTTATTTCTCAGACTACTGATTTTGCCTACAAAAAGACTGGATGTTTA